TGGCTAAAATCAAAAACACCAATGACAATTTATGCTGGAGAGGATGTGGTGAAAGGGGAACACTCCTCCATTGCTGGTGGGAGTGCCAACTGGTTCAGCCACTTTGGAAATCAGTATGGAGATTCCTCAGAAAAATGGGAATAAACCTACCACAAGACCCAGCAACTCCACTCTTAGGCATACATCCAATAATGCCCATTCATACAACAAAGATGTCTGTTCCACTATGTTCATAACAGCTTTATTTGTAATAGCCAGAACTTGGAAGCAACCTAGATGTCCCTCACCCGAAGAGTGGATAGAGTAAATGTGGTACATCTACACAATGGAGTACTATTCAGCAGAAAAAAATAATGGAATCATGAGATTCGCAGGCAAATGGATGACACTAGAAGAAACCATCCTGAGTGAGGTAACCCAGTCACAAAAAGAGAAACATGGCATGTACTCTCTCATATATGGATTTTAGACATCTGGGGAGTGCCAGCCTACAATCCTATGGCCAGAGAGTCTGGGAAACAGAAACTTCATTTAGTGGCTGGTTAAGTACTGAGCTGAACTCAAGAAAGCCAGTAACAGAGAGGGAGGACTGATGATCAAAGGGATTAAGACTGGGCTGGTTTAACCCCCAGAAACAGCTGACCAGACAAAGGTTAACTCTTGAATCCCAGGCATCAGCCTGGGAATCCAGCATGGGACTGATCAATACCCCCTGAATTTGGGTGTCAGTGAGGAGGCCTAGGGAACCTATTGAGCCTTGGGCAGCAGATCAGTACCCATCCCAAGTATACACACGGACTTTGGACTCCCATAGAACAATGTGAGGTGCACTCTCACCCTGAACTCTTGGGGAAGGGTCTAGGCCCTGCCCTATATGAAATGACAGACTATGGACACCCCCATGGAGGGCCTCACCCTCCCTGGGCGAATGAGGGGATAATGGGGGGGCGGTTGGGGGGAGGGCACGGGAGGATGGGAGGGAATGGGAGAGGGACCTGGAACTGATTTGTGAAGCAACCTCGTTTCTTATCTAAATTTAAACTGGAAAAAAAAAGAAAGTTATTTGAATGCATGTTAAACATTAATGTAATTTTTGAAAGGTTATATCTGATTTTTTTTACCAAAATAAATCTGGAGAAAAAAAAAGTTTAAATGATATCACCCTATAATAGGGGATAATACTCCAATTGAACACCAAATGCTAGCAAGTGAAATCCCCAGGATTGGATTAGCTCTTTTTTTTAAATTTATTTCTTAAATTTAATTTAAATTAGAAACAAGTTTGTTTCACATGTCAATCCTAACTCCCTCTCCTTCCCCTCCTCTCCCGCCCCCTTTTAACCCTCCCAGAATCCCTTCACTCCACTCTCCAAGGAGGGTGAGGCCATTCTTGGGGGATCTCAGAAGTCTGTCATATGATCTGGGGCAGGGCCTAGGCCCTCCCCTATGTGTTCAGGAGGAGACAGAATCCCTCTACATGGAATTGTCTCCCAAAGTCCATCTGGATGACAGGCTAAATGTTGATTTATTGCCTGAGGCCCCAAAGGATGCTGAGGCCTCCTCACTGACACCCACATTCAAGGGGTCTGGATTAGTTCCATGCTGGCCTTTCAGCTATCAGTCTGGGGTCTACGAGCTCCCCCTCATTCAGGTCAGCTGATTCTCCTCCCTCTCTGCAACTGGTTCCTAGGGTTTCAGTTCAGTGTTTAGCTGTGGGTGTCTGCCTCTGCTTCCTACTGCCACTGAATGAAGGCTCTAGCCTTCTGTTGCATGGCATCTTTCTCTCTTGAGCTGCTTTTTCAAGATTACAACACTTTTCCCACATCCTCTCCAGAATGATTTGTTGATTGTTTTGCCGATCTCAGTCATGCTGGCTAGAATAAACAAACATCTCAAAGTTGTTTTGAATCAAATTTTTTAATTTCTAAAGATAATTAACATTTTAAAGGTATACCTTAGCAACTTTTATTGCTTTTATGAGAACTTTATTTCAGATACCAAGCACATTTTCAGAAGGGGTTGATTGGAATTTTCTGTTTGCCAGTTTTGTTCTGTTTTCTTTTGTTTTTAGTTCATTATATATTGTGGTGAGTAACACTCTGTTAGATTTATATCTAATGAGGATTCTTTCTCCTGTGGTCTCTTCACTCAACTGATCACATTCTAGTGTGCAGGAGTCCTTTTCAAAAAGTCCTTTCCTAAACCTATAGCTCATAGGGAACACCTATAAGTTCTAAAATCTCTAGGAATAATCTTAAGCACAGAGATAAGTCCTTCACAATGGAAACTTTTAAAAGGCACTAGAAATGGAAAGTCAGTTTATTCTCTTGGATGATTGAGTTAATTGTATGGAAATGAAAATTGTACAAAAATCCATTTACATATTCAATGGAATCTCAATCAAAATCCCTATCTAATTAGTCACAGAAATGAAGAAAACAGCCAAATCTCAAAAAGACCATGGAGGACCAAACAATCCTAATCTTGAGCAAAAACAGCAATGCTGGATGGATTATCCTTCCATTTTTCAAGTTCTACTACAGAGCCATACTAATAAAAACAGTACACAAAACATAATAATAATGATAACAATAATAATAATAACTGGCACAAAACAGGCATATAGACCAATGGGACAAATATGAGTTCATTTAACTACAAGCATGTGTAATATTTGACAAAGAAGTCAAAGACATATTGGGAAGAAAAAAAATAGCATCTGCAACAAATGACTCAGCCAAAACCTGATGACTGCATGTGAAAGAATTCTATTAAGCCTATATCTATCATCTTCCCATAAACTAACTATAAATGCATCAAAATCTAAATGAATATGTTTCTTAAATTCAATTTGCAAATATAGTTTCTAGAGATCAAAGACATACTTGAGGACAACATATTCAACAGAAGTGAATAAGTGGACATTGGAGAAACAAGACTCATGTTACAAGCTCGGGTCCATTCACTTCCAATAAGGGTAGCTTTGGCCTGTCCAATTAGCTATGTCTCCATTCCAACATATTACCAGGAAGACATGCTTACATCCACTCTCTTTGCTTACTTTATTGTTAGTGTCATTACTATGTGAAATGTGCCAAAAGCAATGCTCAAAACTTGGGAAAATATAAACAGATTATAGTTCTTACAAGTATTTTTTAGTCTTTCACTATGAACAAAGAAAACATTTCATCACAATCCTACTCAAGGCAAAAAGAATGCTATAGCTCATGGTATAAATGAAGTATACCCTGGAATTGTTGAATAACTTTGGATGTGTAGAAAATCATTGTTTAAATCCCTAAAGGCAACATAATAGGAAAACTGCATTCATAGAAGCAATGGATTTGGATAATTTTGAAATATGACTATAAATTTATCTCAGTTGTGCAAAGAAAAATTAAGGGATTAATCAAGGTGTATATAGAATCCATTCCAATGTAATAATCTCAAATAGTGATGGTTCAGAACCATCATTTCCTCCTCTGTTATCATTGTTTGTGCTTTTCCCATGTTTCTATAATCATTTTCCATTATTTTTCAGATTGATCACTTGACAAACTAAAGTAATGAGCTTCAAACACCCACTCAATAAAAGAGAGATCGTCCTTCCATATCAAGAAACACTACCAATAACATAATCCAGACACCTAGGTCTGATCATAAACAAATAAAAATAATAACTGAAAGAATATCTCAATCAGAAGGTGGTACTCCCAAATAAACGTGCTCCACAAAAGTGAGTTATATGATGCATAAGACAATGAAGTCTTTAATCTTAAAGAATCACAACTACCATTCTAAACGTTTGCTCTTATATCCACAGTTAAGTGGAACCCTAAGCCCTTTTTAAGAAGACTTCTCTTTGCAGCAGGTGAAGTCCATTACAGAAAATCAAAATGTAGAGTTATGGAGCACAGTAAAAATGGATTTATCTACAAAACACTTCCAAACCTAAGATTCAGGGAAGATTGTGAAAGAGGAGGCAAAAAGATTCTGAAAACCAGAGAGGACTAGGGAGTTTTCTGTAGCATTGTGTCTCTCATTAGTGTCAGAAGCTGCTCACATAAAGTCTCACCAGAATAAATGCATAAGCATCAGCTGAACAAGGACAACAACAATAGCTATGCCAAAGTAGATGGGGGAAAGACCATGTGGTTTCAACTGTACAAAACAATCACAACACACACACACAACTGCAGCAACAACAACAACAAAAACAATAATTAGTTAAAAGATATGTCATGAATTTGAAAGGGAACAAGCTGGGATATCTGGTAGGATTTGGATGAAAGAATGGAAAATGCTAAATGATGAAGTTATGTTAATCTCAAATGTAAAAGAAAAACAAATAGAAAATGTAAATTCAATAATATTGACTCAAATTATAAAATAATATTGGATTGTATTCAAAGACTAATAAACAAAGCATATAGGCAATAAAGTGAATCACATGTTGACACAGTGAGTAGGTTTCAGCTGTTATCATATAAACAGAAGGAAAATGAATAGGAATTTGAGTGGACAAATTAGTATTTTCACTTAATTAATTCTTTTATTGCCTACATTATCACCAAACTGTGTGCCTTATATACATATGATACAGTTTATATCAAATCAAGAATACAAAGCAAAATGAAGTTTCTCCAAATCATAGGTGATGCTACCATAATGCAATGGAATTAACTTTATGTTATTCTGCTCTGTGAGAGTACAACATATACAAACTAAGAAAATTTCAAATTGTCATGTAAGACAAATACAAACTTTGATTATCCTAAAATAAGTTATTTAAATCATGTAGTATGCTGAAGTTCAACAGAGATTTAGAAGCATGATGATTCCACAGAACTTACCTTATTAATTTGGCCAATGTCATGAAGATCTCAGGAGAAATACTTTTAAAAAACATTTAAATTATACATGTTAGAAAATACACTGGCCTGACAGAATCTCTTCTGATAATTCAGAGTTTCTTTGATAAATCAGAATTAGCATTTTCATTAGCAACAGAATATGTTTACTCTATGTGTACATAACATTCTACACCAGAGTTTTTTCATAGAACTTTTTATCTCTGAATTTCTTAAAGCATATATTAAAGGATTCAACATGGGTGTGAAAACTGCATAAAAAACAGTAATGAATTTGTCAATTGCAAAGTTAGACACAGGTCTAACATACACAAAAATGCAGGGAACAAAAAAGAGAACCACCACAGTGATGTGGGAGCTGCAGGTGGACAGGGCTTTGCGCCTCCCTTCCTGACTGTGACTTCTAAGGGATCTTAGAATAATGCCATAGGAGAATAGGAGAAGGACAAAGGCTACCAAACAGAGTAATACACCATTGGCAACAACGGTCAGCCCTACCCAGTATGTGTTACCACATGCAAGTCCCAGTAATGGGTACATATCACAGAGAAAATGGTCAATAATATTAGGGCCACAGAAAGGAAGGTTGTACACTAATATAATTTGAACCAGAGAATGTGTAAACCCTACAATCCAGGATACAACCAACAGGAGGATACAAACCCGGTGATTCATGATGACCAAATAGTGCAGTGGCTTACAGATGGCCACATAACGATCATAGGCCATCACTGTCAGAAGCAGGGCATCACCACCACCAAATAAGTGTTCTACAAAGATCTGGAGCAAGCAAGCTGATAATGAGATTGTCCTTTTAGCACAGAGTAAATCTGCAAGTAACTTGGGTGAGATGGCAGTGGAGAAAACAGCATCCATGAATGACAGATAGGCAAGGAAGAAGTACATTGGTGAGTCCAAAGCAGGGCTGGCAATCACTGTTGCAACAATGAGCAGGTTGCCCACCATTGTCACAATGTAGATGAGTAAAAACACAACAAACAATGCTTTTTGCACAGTGGGATCCTTAGTGAGACCCAGGAGGATAAATTCTGTAACATTGTTCCTCAGTTCCATTTACTCTTCTACCAGGATTTTTTTTTACCAGGCAAGAGCATAGAACAGGACCTGCCAGGGCATATTGAACACGTTACAGTAAGAATCTATTCTGTCACAAAGCACATACGTATCAATAATTTTTACAGTAATAATTCAGAAGTAGGCACTTGGTGAGCATCTGCTTAGTTCCTCTGGCAAATTTGTCCACACTCCTGTCGTTAATTTGGTAATTACTAAGGTTTTACCTTAAGATCTCAGTAAAGACAAAAGCACATCTCTCTTACGTTTAAAACCACTTTCTCATTGGCCCAGATATTACTCACCCAACCAGAAGAAGTCCTCCAAAAACGAAAACAAACAAAACTAAATAATGACAGCAAAAAACCCCAAAAAGTCGAGATAGTTATTGAATGCCATGCTAGACTATTAAACTATGAATATTATGAACAATGTTTTATAGCATGATCTATTTAGCACAGAAAGTAGTTCTCATTCTGATATGTCCAGCTTACTATTTCCATGTTGTTTTATCTGAACCAGAATTTAGAGATCTCCAAGATTTGCACTCTTCCTGTTTCAGGGTACTAGATCTCAATGTGTTTGAAATAACTCCAATATTATTTAGTATATTACTGCTTGTAACAATTGCTTCATTTGAGTTGGAATATCAAAGTTTTCAGGATCTATATTTCTGTTCAAATATGTTAATTCTTAGCACCATTACAAGCTATAAGTGTTTCAGCAAGTACTTTTATAGCTGAGCTAACCTACTATTTTACCAACTACTGCACTGACAGCCAACATACTTTTTCAAAACTATCAGAATAAACTGGACAGCGAGACATGAGAAAAGAGAAACTAAAGGAATGTTAGTGAGCAGTGGGCATGTCTTTCTATTATTGCTTCCTAGGTACTCAGAGTGCTCACATAGAAATTCGGTATCACAATAGCAGAGGACAACATCCTCAAAGGAAAACACATAACTGTTTTGAGGAGGTATGGTATTGGTTCATCTCTAGACATATACATATACATACATTTGTTTGGTTTTCATACTGAAAAAGAAAGGAGTTAGAAAAGATGACCTCAGAATCCTATTGTTTCCATCTATAACATTGTTGGTCCCAGTCCTTCTTTTTCTACTTTGTTCATTTTTTTCTTATTTGTATAATCAAAGAATTTCCTAGCATATTTATGTTTCCTAATTATACTAATTGAGTGTAATTGGAATGTTATAGCTAAGGTAATAAAGTAATGCTTCTAATTTATTGTTCACGATATACCAAACTAGAACCTGAGTCACACTTGGAGAGGAAGAATAGCCCAGTGAGAAACACTGAGAACTTTGGAGCTATGAGTTAGATGTGCACATACACACATAAACCCTCAACACTTACATACTATATCTGTGACAGAGAGTTCCACATATCTTCCTTACAGATTGTTTAGTTTGGTTTCATTGTTACATAAAATGTGCCTTAAATACCTGCAACATCTTAAGTGAATTGTGGCTGTGATTAATGTGCAGTGGTCCACACTGAGCATCAGCTCAGATCCTCACAAGATCTCTGTCTACTTAACAAGAATTGTACAAATATTCCAGAATAAGAGAAGAATCCTGTGTGCTTGCTGAACTATGTTTCAGATATACATTGAAATTATATGAGTTAGAATTTATCTACTCTATTATATGTAAGTATGAGCAACATTTACCTGGGAAGAAATATACTTTGACTAGAAGCAAGCAAGTTAATTCCATTCATACAGACTTCATCATGGAGAAGGAAACTTGCAGAGCATGTGTCCTTTTGTTAGAAGCAATTGTGATGCTACTAGGAGTTTCATTCATATTTCTCCTTCCATCTGGGTCAGAAGATATAGTTTTCATTTATGAAATATTAGACTGATAAGACATGCCTATTGTAGATCGTAGGGGAATAAAATAACTATGTCCAATTCGGTCTCTTTTGCTTCTTTTTCTCTGGATTCTAGTACATCTCATTATTTATCAATTCTGGGTTTCAACAGAACAAATCTTCAAGAGAGCAGTTAATTGTTTACATAGCTGAATTAAAATAGAGTGCTGTCCTGCTCCATTCAGAGGAAGGAGACTGAGACCTCGCCAGATCCCAGGAGAAATCACTACAGTCTCTAAATGAAATGGAGTCTGCATTTTACTATCAATATGGCAGCCACAATATGTGAAAAGCATTATTTAAAGTATTGTTTCCTATTCTTAACATCATATAAAATCTTAAAGGAAGAATATAGAGTGGTCATATTAATTCTGAGTCTTCCCTTAATAAGTTATAGGGAATTTCTCCAATATCCTTTGTGTGACCATTGTTTCCTGGAAAAGTGAAAACATCACTACTCACACAGATGACACCAATCTTTTCATCTATGCTGTGATAGTTTTACATGAAAATGAACTAGCAGAATAGAAATTATGGGATTGGAGAGACAGCTCAGCAGCCAAAAGCATCACTCCACCTGCTTATCCTGAGAACCAAGATTTAATTCCTAGCATGCACATAGCATTTCAAAAATCCTCTGTTACTCCAGTTCCAAAGATCTGTCAGCATTTTCACACCTTTTTGGAACCAGAAATACATGTGTTACACAGACATCCATGCAGGCAAAACACACATACACGTGGAATAATACAATACTAGTTTAGAAAACATACATGTTTTATTTCAGCAATGCCCTTAAACCCTATGTCAACTATTCTGTGAATTATCTGCGATTTGATACTATAAAAAGTAAAGAATAATATGACTACTTTAAGCTTAAACTTGTGTTAATGCTTATCTAGACAAAAATAATTATACACAATTATTTAGGACATAGGTCTTTAAAAATATACTTTTTTGTTTGTTTGTTTGTTTGTTTTGAGACAGGGCTTCTCTGTATTACATTGGAGGTTGTCCTGGTTCTCCCTCTGTAGACCTGGCTGGCCTGGAACTCACAGAGATTCACCTGACTCTGCCTCCCGAGTGCTGGGATTAAAGGTGTGTGGCACCAACGCCCAGCTCTAAACATATACTCTTAAGATACAGTGTATAACAATGAACTGTTTTTCAGCCACTAAGAATAGTAGAGTCATATTGCTTGTAGGAAAATGGTTGCAGTTGCAAGAAGTCACAGTAAATGAGTCGAGGGAGCCATTATAGGTTTCAAAGAGAAATCTGGCACAAGGGAAATGTTCAGAGATCTACATGATTGACCCCCAACTAACATCTAAGCAATAGTCTGAGAGATTACATTAAAAGCAATTCTCTGATAATGAGATTGATGCCTACTTTATATGCCATCCTAGAGCCTTCATCCTGTAGCTTATGGAAGCAGAAGCAGATACCCACAGCTAAACTCTGAGCTGAACTCTGGAATCCAGTTACAGAGAGGGAGGAGTGATAGGCAAAGTGGTCAACGCCAGGCTGGAGAAACTCACAGAAACAGTAGACCTGAACAAGGAGTTGCTCATAGACCCCAGACTGTCATCTAGAAAACCTGCATAGGACTGTTCTAGACATCCTAAACTCAGATGCCAGTTTGGAGAGGTCTGGTTAGCCTATGGGGCCTCTGGTAGTAGAACCCTATTGATCCCTAGTGAAAGACCTTTCAGTCTTTCTCTCAGGACCCTCGCCCCAAAGAACACCTGGGAGCCGAAGTTCGTTGCAAAATGCAAGAGGATTTTTATTAAGCCATCACGCAGCTTTGGGAAGGAGTGAACTCCAGCAGAAATCACAGCAAGTTTTTAAAGCCTGAAACAGCAAACGGGGTGGTGGGTACAAAGGGTGTTTGATAATCGGTGCCAGACCTTCATGCAAACACGTACGTTTGTGGCTGACTGGCTCGTTGTCTGTCTTAGGCAATGTCTGTGCCCTGGCTGAACTTTGTGACTGACCTGGAATCTTGAGGTCTGGGGAATGTTCCCAAGTCCTTGAAGACTGAGGTCTGGGAAATATTTTCTAGTCCTTGAGTACCACTAGGAGAAGATGTTTAAGTGTAGCTGTTCACGTCCAAGGACAGGACAGTTTAATAATTTTCCAACTATTGGGAGGCTAACTGTTGGGGCTCTTCACTAGTACACAAATGGACTTGGAGCCCAACACACATAGAGAGATACTCTCTCATCCTTGACACACAGGGAGGGCCTAGGCCCAGCACCTCTCCATTATATGATGGACTTTGAAGATCCCTCATGGAAGGCCTCACCCTCCCTGGGGAGCAGAAAGGGGAGGGGATAGGGCATCTGTGGGGGGTAGGGGAGGAGGGGATGGAGTGGGAACTGAGACTGACATGTAAAAGATGCTTGTTTCTAATTTAAATTAAAAACAGAGGTAAAAGAATTCAGGCAGCTGCTTAGATAACTGAGATAAAAAAGAAAGTCTCAGAAAAACAAATACCACATGTTTCTCTCTCTCTCTGTGTCTCTTTTCTAATTTTGAAACAGGGTTTCTCTGTATTGTTTTGGAGGCTGTCCTGGAACTTGCTCAGTAGACCACGGAGATCTGCCTGCCTCTGCCTCCCAAGTGCTGGGATTAAAGGTGTGTGCCACCAATGCCCAGTTTAACATGTTTCTCTTATGGGTGGGTCTTAGGTTTTATACAGACACATAAAATCTCAGTTTTTCAGGTGCCATGAAAGCAGGACAGTGTGTAAGGACACAGAGGGAGTAGCTGGAGGAAGAAGGAGGACAGAGCTATGCAGTGGTTGCATTCAGAACATAGCAGTAACAACAGTACCAAACAGCCTCAGCAAATACATTTCCACATCATCTGTCCATTAACTCTGTCTTTCAGAGACGGGTCCATCCATGTACATCAAACATACAAAACACTGAAATATAATATGAAAACTTACTATAAAGGGTAACTGGATATTGTCAACTGCTCTTGTTACAATAAAAGATGTTATGTATGAATAATTATGTAAAATATATCATGTAAATACATATTAAAAATAACTTGCTGAAACAAGTAAAAATATCATTAAATTTAACTGTGTGTAGTTTTACACATTTCAATCACTTGAAGTAAAACTGTTAAACAGCATTGTCATTATTCACACTAAACAGGTTTTATTCATATGTATGCACATGCAATAACAGTTACTGAAAAAAAGAGACCATTAATTTGAAGGAGAGAAGACACTGTTGAATCAGAAGGTTTGGAGAGGAAAAGGGGAAGGGAGAAATGCAGTAATTGTATCACAATCTCAAAAATACATACTAATTAAAAAATCATTTGCAGAAATGCCCCACTAACACATAGACCACTAGACCATCAGCCCCATCTATGCATCCAACAGGAGCAGCATCCACTGGTGCTGTACTCCCACCTGATCCTCAAAGAGAGACCACCTGAGCATTAGGCCCACTTCCACCAGAAGGAGTATTCACTTGAAACTCTGCTCTACTTGTGCCTGAAGGAGAGGTCAACAAGCCACAGGCCCCACTATACCAACTGGAGAAAGAGAGAACCCCTGAAACACATGTTCTACTTATACCGATTAGAGCAAGAGATGTGTGACAAGGTAAGACCACACTCAACAATATAAAGATCTATACAGCACCACCAGAAACTAGTGGTGCTACAACAGCAAGACCTGAACATCCCAACACAGATGAAGTAGAAGAAAACGACCAAAAAATTAACTTTATGAGGATGATTGAGGCCTTTAAAGAGGAAATGAAAAATTCCCTCAAAGAAATGGAGGAAAAGACAAACAAAAAAACTGGAAGATATTAACAAGTCCCTTAAAGAAAATCAAGAAAAAGAAATCAAACAAATGAAGGAAACTATTCAAGGCATTAAATCTGGAATAGAGGCAATAAACATAATATAAACGGAGGGAATTCTGGAAATGGAAGATCTGGGTAAACTCTCAGGAACCATAAATGCAAGCATAAACAACAGAATACAAGAGATGGAAGAGAGAATTTCAGGCATTGAAGATAATTTTGAGGAAATAGATTCATCATTAAAGAACAATTTAAAGCCTACAAATCCTTAACACAAAACATGCAGGAAATCTAGAACACCATGAAAAGAAGAAACAAAGAATAATAGGGATGGAAGTAGAAAAAGTCAAACTCAAAGGCATAGCAAGTATATTCAAAAAAATCATAGAAGAAACACCAACCAACCTAAAAAAGGACATGCCTATGGAAATACAAGAGGCTTACAGAACACCAAATAGACTGGACCAAAAAAAAGTTCCTGCACACATAATAATCAAAACAATAAATATACAGAATAAGGAAGGATATTAAGAGCTGCAAAGCAGAAAGGCCATGTAACATATAAAGGCAGACCTGTCTGAATTACACCTGATTTCTCAATGGAAACAATGAAAGCCAGTAGTTTGTGATCAGATGTTATGCAGACACTAAGGGACCACAGATAACAGCCCAGACTACATTACCCAGCAAAGTGTTCAATAATCATAGATAGAGAAAACAAGATATGCCATGATTAAACAAATGTAAAGAATACCTATCCACAAACCTAGTCCTACAGAAAGTACTAGAAGGAAAATGCCAAACCAAGGAAATTACCTATGTCCACAGGAGTCCAGGAAATAGATGAGCTTACAGCAGCAAATCCCAAATAAGGGAATTGAATACACAATGTCACCACCACCAACAAAACCAAAAATAACAGGAACTAGCAGTCACTGTTCATTAATATCCATTAATATAAATGGTCTCAATTCACCTGTAAAAAGACATAGGCTAACAGATCAGATATGAAAACAGAATCCATCCTTCTGCTGCATACAAGAAACACACCTCAACCTCACAGACAGACATTACCTCAGAGCAAAGGGTTGGGAAATTTT